TTCTCTTTTTTACATTTCCATTTCTTGAAAGACGCTGCCTTCATAGAAGCATTGGACATCTTCATGTTTTATTTCCTTTCAATTTCAGTCTTGCATTCTTTTTCCTGTGGAGGCAAAAAAAAAGCCAGTGTGCTTAAGTTGACACTTTTCAGACATGAATGCTGTGGTCAAAATACACCTGGGATATGCAGGCACTTAAAATCTAATTGGAAATACATACTCTGTTCTAGATAATCTCTCTTCTATGCTTCCAAATCAAAACAATTGCCATGCAAGGTATAATCTATACAGAAACTTCTTGTTTCAATAAGAAACTAGAAACTTTTTCTCCTCTTTGTCGTTTGCACCTTCAATTTATGGGCTGCTAACCCAGAGTAAAGCTATTTCGGAGAGAGGGAGGGAGGGAGGGAAAAAATTAATTATGAAAAATAAAGGGTACGAAGACAGGGCTTTGGCAAGATAATCATCTTCAAATCTTCAGTTTACAAAAATGAGACAATTTTTTTGTGTCTAACATACTTTTTTTTTTTTACCTTTCACCACATCAAGATAAAATTCTATGACGTCTAAAAAATTGAAAATTCCCAAATTGCAATATTCTCAAACTAACCCACATCAGTTATAGAAAGGAATAGAGACAGGCCATCAAGCAAATAAAGATGCTTTGTGGTTTTTGCTTGTCTGCTTTCTGTTGTATAGAAAGTGCTTTAGTTCTCTCCTCTTTGATTTAGGGTGCTGCATGACTATATGTTTTAAGAGCTTAAAAGTTTATGGCTGCCGCTTTAACCATTTCCTTATAAGGTGTGGTCCAAAATGGCAAGCAGAATGATTTTGGTCTGCCAGTCCTCCAGAAATGTGACACAACATGATAGGCTTGTTCCAACCTTTTTGAGATTACAAACAAGGAAATTCTGAAATGTGTCCTTCTACTACGATTTGATTGTGCCTTATTAAACTGGGAATGCCTTGAGGATGATGTGGATGTAATATTTATTTTAAGAACTTAATATTATTCGAAACATCAAATGTAAACTTGAAACACGGTTTTTTAAGTTAGCAACATTTCATTAATGTGTTAACAGCTGTACTTAAGGATAGCAATCTTAAATTTATGCACCTTTGTGACACATCTTTGTAACTTACATAGGTGCGTGGAAGAAACTGCAGTAATGGAATGCTCCTAGCATGTGTCCTGTTCAATAGTTACGGGTTATTGTTGAGTATTTTGCTTATTGTAGCACTACGCTATAAACTTCGCTGCCATCAGTTTCTCCTTGGTTTTTTGGAACAGGTAGTAACCACCTTTTTTTGAGTACCATCTCTTTTCTATTTTATGCATTTTCACAGTTCTCTTATTTCTTTTCTTTATTTCTGCCTTGCCCTCTGCCTTTTCACAGGCATAGAGTTAAATTTTAGAAGCTTCATAATTTTTTGAGCATTTAGGACTGAGAATTAAATTTATAAGGGGAGTATAGTCACTGAGTATGTGGACAAAAAATTTAATCTTTTTAAAAACTGGTGTTGGGTATCTCATTAAGCAGCTGAAAAAAAACCCAAAACGTTAATATGTCTTGCTCAGGTTACCTGACCACATGCACTAACGTAAAAGGAGTCTGAGCTTCTGGCTTTAGTGTTAATAAGTACATGATTCGTTGCTGTTTACTGAGCAAAGTTGGATTTGGCCAGTGAAGTAACCGTATAAAGCAAAAGAATTAATAATGCCATTCTGAATTTCTTTTGTAGCACAAAATGGGAAAGAAACAGAATGGCAAAGGTAAAAAAGTTGAAGAGGCAGAGTCTGAAGAATTTGTTGTAGAGAAGGTCCTGGACAGACGTGTTCAAAATGGAAAGGTGGAATACTTCTTGAAGTGGAAAGGATTTACAGAGTAAGGCATTTCCTTTTTTTTTTTTCCTGATAGAATGATAAACACAAACCATTTATTTGAGATAACTGTACAGAGAGGAGATTGGGTGATGGGGATCCACTTTAAAGAACCTTGAGGGAAGGACATCCATAAATGCATATTCAGGTGGGATAGTCAAGTCTGAAAATAAAATAGAAGATAGTGTAGCTCAGTGTTTGTGGTACATAAAATAGTCAAGGACTTTAACCAGGTCCTTAGTGATTGTCCTCTGATATAGGTTCTGTGAATATCTATCAAGGTAAGCTAGAATGATAGTTGTTACATATGTAGTGGAATGAATGTTACTTCTGAGTAAGAAATTATGCAGGGATTTAAACGGCAGGCAGCTCTGAAGCAATGAATTTGAAGCATATAGTTTGCTTATTATTAATTTTCCTGAACTGCTCTCAAATTAGCAAATTTGCCTAAGGAATTCGCTGGCATGGTTGCCTTTTTGAGTGTCTTGCCCAGGACTTACATGATAAAGTTGATTGTTAAGGAAGGAATGCAGTTGTGCCTCTTTTCTCCTTCCAGTGACACTTCATGGCAGCTTGCTTTACTAGCTGAGAAAAGGGGATGCACCCAACATGTGAGCATAAGTGGTTACATATACAGTGATTAATTTTTGTTGCATACCTCTCAAAATTGCAACATTGTGCTCTCTAGCACCTGAAATGCGTGTGGTGATTAATATATAAATGCAAACACGTATTTCGTAATTGAGGGTCTTATTTGAACTTGTTACAGTAATGGAAAAAAAATTATTAAAAGTTGATATCCTGCTTGTGCAGTAGCATTGTGGCAGTATGTGTGTGTGAGTACTTCTGATGAGGTGCTTAGTTGTTGCAGGAACTTGTTAAAATTTTAGTTAACAAAATGCACGCTTACTGAAACATGCAGTGCCGAGCTCTGCCCACCTTTGTTCCCTCCTGTAGTCAACGGAAGGAGGAAGATAGTTCCAGGTGTAGTTGTGCTCAGTTCTCAGAGACTTCAGAGAGTGTTCCTGGTATCTGGAAGCTTATATATATATATATATATATTTAAGCTGTTTGTAACAAGTGTTGTGTACACCTTGTTCCCTGTGAGTGCGTCTTTAGTGCTTGTATCATATGGTTTGTTTGCGTGGACAGTCTTTAGAGGAACCACAGAAGCAAGTCAGTGTAAATGGGCAGATAGGTTTTCATAGAGTGGGAATTGCTTGTTTTAACTCTGATGATCCCACTGAGAACATAGCACAATAAGCAGCTCTATTAACTCCTATCTTTTCTTTAAGAACATTGTTTTTCAACACTGAGCATACTCCTTTCAGTCATCAATTGCAGTACATGAAGGCTACTAAAGATGGCACAATAAACATCCTTAGGGTTAGATAAACATCCTTAGAGTTTAAGAAACCTACCTTATATAATGAAACAAAATTCACTTGCTTAAATTAAGAGGAGCCATGCGGTTAGTTTTACATAAATGTGTGTATGTTTCAGTGCTGACAACACATGGGAACCTGAAGAGAACTTAGATTGTCCAGAGCTAATTGAAGCTTTTTTGAACTCTCAGAAAGCTGGTAAAGAAAAAACAGACGGTGCCAAAAGAAAATCTTTGTCAGATAGCGAATCTGATGATAGTAAATCAAAGAAAAAACGTGATTCTGTAAGTATATGTTCATGTGCTAAGCTTTTTTTCCCCTACATTTCTTCCCTATCTCTCCATCCCCCAAAAAATCTATTGTGACTTTGAGAATGAGACCGAACACTGATTTAAAAGTGTAAAAATTGCACAGTATCTGGAACTGTGGTTTGAAAAGGATATACATTCATTGTGGTTAATGAGACTGTCCAAATGGTAAGTAAAAGATGATTGAGTGACATGATGATTAAAAGTTCTTGCATTGTCCCATGACACTTACTGAATAATTGAAAAAAAGTATGGTTAAGAGTTATTAATTAATGGTGTTAAGTGATCAGTTTGTATTAGAGCAAAAGGTCCAAGATGTTTGGCTTTCATATTTAGCATGATTTTGAATAGGTGAGTCGCAAGATGGCAAAATGTGAAGACCAGTCAGTTACTTACATCAGGACCAGACGTGATGGTGGAGAGGGAGTAGAAAGCGTGACTGCAGAAAGCCTGCCTTTTCTGAAAGTGGGGATTTTTTCTGCGATACAAATGAGTACAAAATAATGCACATGTAGTCAGGCGTTCCAGTAGTTTACATTTTCGTCTGTAAACTTTCAGATTAGCAGTTTGAAACCGCTGGTATTGGCAACCATTTTCATGTATGAAGACAAGTCTTAGACGTGTGGTTACTGTCAAAAGGATCGAAAAGTATCAGAAGAAATAGTTGATGAATAGTACAATGAGTATTTTACTTTCTGTATGGAGTCAGTTGTGTGGCTTCATCTGGTACAGGAGTGGCTACTGTCTCTAAAAGGGTATTGTGAACCTCTAAAGGAGCTAATACAGGAAATAGTTGTGATATTTGTTGTCACCAGTGTGGTCTCAGTGAGCCAAGAAGAGTGGAGGTGTTCCCCAAGAGTTTTGCTGTTGGTTTAAGCCAACCTAAACCTGTTATTTTGCTGAAAAGCATGCGGTTTTCCCACTTCCAGGCATGCATTTTTGCTTTGCCGCTTTTGTTACTTTTACTGACCATGCTTTTTTGTTTATCTGCTATGATGATTTTAGAACACTTTTTTCATCTATTGTGTTTTCATAAATAAATGCTGGAAACATGGATGTAAAATTCTTTCATTGTTACGCCCCTAAATGACTTGGCCTGAAGATTGGTCATGAAAAAATCAGTGTCCTATTCTGACAATAATATGTAATTATAGATTTGATGGTTTTTTAAGACTATATTTTTTTGTTCTGATACACACATACATATATGTATGTACAAAAATTTATGCATCTAGCAGCAAAATGGAATTTCATCTTAAACTAGATAACTATATTCTAACTTAATCAATAGGTTGATAAACCAAGAGGGTTTGCAAGGGGTCTTGCTCCTGAGCGGATAATTGGGGCTACGGATAGCAGTGGAGAGCTTATGTTCCTCATGAAATGGTAAGTCTTACATCCACAGTTCTTATCCATGTTACAAGAGGGCAGCAGTTGCACTTAGGCTCATGAGATAACTTCATTGCAAGAGTAAGACAGAGAAGCTGGTGGTCTCCTAATTAGTCTTGTATTCTTAGAAAAGCAAACCTTCTGTATTCATTTAGTACTTACCCTCTTCCTTGAAAACCCAAAATATCTTTCATTTCAGTTAGCTTAGTTTTACTGAAGTAGAAATTTGAAAGGTAATTTCTCATAAAATAAGGGAAAATTGGCATTTGTATGGAAAAACTGGATCTTGGCAATGCTCTTGCTGAGGAAATGGCAGGCAGGAATACAGCTTTATATGTTTCAATAAGCAGAAGCCAGCTGCTGGATAGCCAACCATAGTGCCAACTATTCTGCATGCAGCAAACTGTAACTGGAAGCAAGTAGTGGAGGAAGCAGAGGTGGAGATGAAAAATAAACAATATGAAGAGGCTTGCCATTATGGGCTCGTAAGAGGGGAAAGTGACGTGGGGAGTTTGTGTTGTTGGGAGGATAGGTAACATAGTGTTGACAGAAGGATTTCTTGAACAAATGGGATAAAATTAGTACTTTCTAGCAGTTGAGAAATCAAGACAATAAATTGACACTTGCTAGGGGTCAGATCTCTTTAAGTGATGGGATAAGAAGGGTAGCTTTCCACAGCCTTTGAGAAGGATGTGATTTTCTGAATGGAGTCAAACTGAGTGGTCTCCAGAGACATGATTTGTCATGTGACATGCCTGGACTGCTGCAGATTAGTGCTTTAGGAGATTGTCTCCCTTCTGCCTTTCCAAATTCGCTATAAATTTTATGTGAAACTTAGAAGAGTTGCAAAACAAAGATTATGAGTGTTTGAATTTCTGTAGTGATAATTGGCAAAATCAGACTCGCAGGACAAAAATCTTTTTTTTGTTTAGTTCCATTGCAGTTGATTAGTTTTTCATAATTGGTCGTAGGTAACATGCATAGATATGACTATGTATGCACAAAACTGACTCGTAAAGGCAGCATACACTTAAAAATGGAATCTGAAGCATGTCAGACTGGAAAGTTTGTTTTGTTACTCCAACACAGCATCAAGAATAGCAATATGAATACAGGAAGTTACTTGCATAAACAGTAAATATAATTTGGATGTAAGTACCACCTCTTAAGACTGGTGCTATTTATTTTTAAGTCTCACTTTGAAGTTTTGATTAGTCTTTAAAAGACAAAATTAACCAAGTTTTACTTGTTTCATTACATACTACAGTATGTAACCATATAATTAGTACCCTTTGAAAAGCGTTTTCATTTCCAACAGAAAAAATACGGGAAGGGAAGGAAGATGGAGCTATGAAACCTTGTCATTACCATTAGCGTGGAAATTCTTGGTAGCTGTAGTGAAAGGTATACTGGAAACCAATTTCTAGCTGACATTCTTTTAAAACTTAGGACTTATCAAGAGCTGCTAAATATTTCGAAATAACGATTTTGCTTTTTCTTAAATCCCATTCTCTTCTACATCAGGAAAGGCTCTGATGAGGCAGATCTGGTGCTGGCCAAAGACGCTAACAAGGAGTGTCCTCAGATTGTAATCGCTTTTTATGAAGAACGACTAACTTGGCATTCATGCCCAGAAGATGAAGCACAATAATTGTTTGCATTGCTTTTTTTATATATAAGAATATTAAAACCTAAAGTTTGATTTATTAGCAATGTGAGAAGCATACATTCTAACAAGTTTCGAATTTGATATTTTTTTGAAGTAGTATGTTTTGCATCAACAGCAAGTAAATAAAAGCTTTCTGCAACTTGTTTCATTTATCACAAGAGAGCATTTGATACTACTACTTCCTCCATATTAGGTAAAAGCTTTTATAAAACATGGATGAACTTCCATAGTTATTACAGGATCATAATGAATGTCTAAACAAACTCACAGATGTTTTGTAGTCTTCTGTACTATTGATGTGCATGTATCTTCTTTACCCAAACCTAGCCCTTTAAACCCCTAGGGTCATTCTTTTTAGTATTTGGGATCGCTTGGTCTTCAGAAGACTAGGTGAAAACTAACTTTGTAGTAATTTGAATGTTATCAGACTTGTTATTATATTGTTACTTATATTGTTTACTTTATTGTAAATACTGGTGAACAGTGGTCAATAAAATAGTTTTATATTCTTCCTTTATACTGATAGGCTGTGACTCTTTTGAAGCAGTATATTTCCCAACTTTTGATATGTTAAACTCAGTTTGTAATATATTAATTGTAAGTTGTTTTTTGGGGAGTAGGTTGATTATTAATATTATGCCAATGCCACTCTCTAATTCCAGAAAAGTACCAGGCTTTGATTATTAATATTTTTATTTTGTGAATACTGCCTGAGATGTAGTTCTTTTCAGGCAGGAAGGGCACGTGAAATGAATGTGCTTTGGGTACTTGTGTAAGTCATGGATAGCAACCATACGGGTTAGGTATGCCAGTTGGTCCCAAGGCCAAGTGACCTCTGCAGGCATACTAGGAAATATTTGATCTGTATTGACAGCATTAGCCTTTGCTTTAATTTCAGCTCTTAATAGGAGGCAATATTGTAGCTAGTGCTGGTTCAGAAGGAATTATTCTTCAGGCCATTACCTGAAGAATACTTACATAGCTCAACCCTTAAAATGGAATATTTAAATGAAGATACTTAAGTCATGTTACTTGGAACAAAAGATGTAGTTTCTGTTTCTGTTTGGATTTTAAAATTAGTCCTATAATCAGCTGCTTGGAGAATGCCTTCAGAAGAGCAGAAGTAAAGGGTGGGGAACTCAGGGGGAGGGAAGTTGCCTTTTACCATTCTTTCTCCAGTTGCCATTCATCTTTTCAGTTGCTCTCATCTACACACCTTCTTTTATTTATGTTTTGACTACCATGGTATATTTTGCCTTGAGCTATGCCTCTATATGTCCATGACCAAGATTGTTTCAGAATTATCCTTAATTTAGAGTTTTGACTAAAAAATATAATCCCATAATACACTGTCAGGGTCATAGAATCATAGAACGGTTTGTGACCTCAAGGATAATCTAGTTCCAACACCCCTGCTATGGGCAGGGACACCTTCCACTAGACCGGGTTGCTCCAAGCCCCATCCATCCTTGCCTTGAACACTTCCAGGGATGGAACAGCCACAACTTCTCTGGGCAACCTGTGCCAGTGCCTTATCACCTTAACAATAAAGAATTTCTTGCTATAATATCTCATCTTACCCTACTCTCTTTCAGTTTGAAGCCATTCCCCCTTTTCCTGTCACTATATGCCTTTGTAAAGTCTCTCTCCAGACTTCTTGTAGGCCTTGTTTAGGTCCTGGAAGGTGCTGTAAGGTCTTGCTGGAGCCTTCTTGTCTCCAGGCTGAACCCTGACTCTCAGAATGTCTTCACAAGAGAGATGCTACAGCCCTGTGACCTACTTAGTGGCCCTTCTCAGAGGTGATACAGTTGATGTTTCCCAGGTATGTTTTTTTAGAAGATTAAAAAAAGATGGGTGGTCCTGGAAACCCTCATGGTGTGCTGAGGAGTAAATGAAGGAATTCAGCCTGTGCTTGAAGTTCTTTTGATACTGTTTCACAAAATATTATTATAACTGTAGTTTCAAAAACAATTTATATTGTTGTCTGAGTTTAATTAGACTGAAGTGTTTGCTAAGGAGGATGAGTTATGAGGAAGACCAAGCTCCTCCCTCCAAGCAGTTGTAAATCTGAAATTAAGAGGCTCCAATTGAGGAAATATGGAGAAAGAAAAAGATAACAGCCCTTTATTAAAGGATATATGTGTATTGGCAGAGCAACAAAAGAACACAAAACCAATAATTTTGCACCCAAAGTTCCCTACAAACCTTTAAACTAGGTTTGTAGGGGGAAGGGGTTGAAACTGGGCTCTCGAGAAACGAGCCCAAGGGTGGACAGCCCAAGTTAAGAGCCAAATCAGCAGCCCAGCTGAAGTGCATGTACACCAATGCACACAGCATGGGTAACAAATAAGAGGAGCTGGAAGCCATCGTGCAGCAGGAAAGCCATGATGTAGTCGCTATCACGGAAACGTAGTGGGATGACTCGCATGACTGGAGTGCTACCATGGGTGGCTACAGGCTCTTCAGAAGGGACAGGGAGGGTAGGAGAGGTGGAGGAGTGGCTCTATATGTTAAGAGTCTCTTGACTCTGTAGAAGTTGAAGTCAGTAACAATAAGGTTGAGTGCCTGTGGATAAGAATCAGGGGGAAGGCCAACAAGGCTGATATCCTGGTGGGAGTCTGTTACAGACCACCCAACCAGGATGATGAGGATGATGAATTATTCTACAAGCAGCTGGCAGATGTCTCAAAATCGCCAGCCCTTGTTCTCGTGGGTGACTTTAACCTGCCAGATGTCTGCTGGGAACTCCACACAGCGGAGAAGAGGCAGTCTAGGAGATTCCTAGAGTGTATAGAGGATAATTTCCTGCTCCAGCTGGTAAATGAGCCTACCAGGGATCGAGTCCCGCTAGACCTCCTGTTCACAAACAGAGAGGGGCTGGTGGGAGATGTGGTGGTCAGTGGATGTCTGGGACACAGTGATCATGAAATAATAGAATTTTCAATACTCAGGGATGCAAGGAGGGCTGTCAATAAAACCTCTGCGTTGGACTTCCGGAGGGCAGATTTCGGCCTATTCAGAAGACTAGTCCAGAGTGTACCCTGGGAAACAGCCCTTGAAAACAAAGGGGTCCAGGAGGGATGGACGTACTTCAAGAAGCAAGTTTTGAATCAAAACACAGGAGCAGGCTGTCCCACTGTGCCAAAAGGCGAGCTGGCGGGGAAGACGACCAGCCTGGCTGAACAGGGAGATTTTGAAAGAAATTAGGGTAAAGAAGAGAGCCTACCGATTATGGAAAAAAGGGCTGACCACTCAAGAAGAATTTAGGAATACAGTTAGGTCGTGTAGAAAGAAAATTAGAGGGACAAAGGCACAACTTGAACTGAATCTCGCCACCTCTGTGAAGGATAACAAAAAGTCCTTCTACAGATACATCAATAGCAAAAGGAGGGGCAAGGAAAACATCCACTGTTTACTGAACATAGGTGGGAATATAGTTATCAAAGATGAGGAAAAGGCTGAGGTATTTAACACCTTTTTTGTCTCAATTTTTCAACAGTAAGACAGGCTGTCCTGAGGACAACTGGCTTCTGGAGCTTGTAGAAAGAGACAAGAATCTGAACAGCCCCCCTGTAATCCAGAAGGAAACAGTGACCTACTGAGCTGCTTGGATTCTCACAAGTCTATGGGACCAGATGGGATCCACCCAAGGGTGATGAGGGAGCTGGCGGAAGAGCTCGCCAAGCCACTGTCCATCATCTACCCAGATGATTGGAAGTTGGCAAATGTCACGCTAATCCACAAAAAGGGCCGGAAGGAGGACCCGGGAAACTACAGGCCCGTCAGCCTGACCTCAGTGCCTGGCAAGGTTATGGAGCAGATCATCCTCAGTGCAATCACACAGCACCTACAGGATGGACAAGGGATCAGACCCAGCCAGCACGGGTTTAGGAAGGGCAGGTCCTGTCTGACCAACCTGATCTCCTTTTATGATCAGGTGACCCGCCTGGTGGATGAGGGGAAGGCTGTGGATGTGTCTACCTGGACTTCAGCAAGGCCTTTGACACCATCTCCCACATCATTCTCCTGAAAAAGCTGGCAGCCCACGGAATGGACAGGGGCACTCAGTGCTGGGTTAGGAACTGGCTGGAGGGCCGGGCCCAGAGTGGTGGTGAACGGGGCTGCATCCAGTTGGTGGCCGGTCACTAGTGATGTCCCCCAGGGATCAGTTTTGGGCCCAGTCCTGTTTAATATATTTATTGATGATTTAGATGAGGGGATTGAGTCCATCATCAGCAAATTTGCAGGTGACACTAAGCTGGGGGGGAGTGTCGATCAGCTGGAAGGCAGGAGGGCTCTGCATAGGGACCTGGATAGGTTGGAGAGTTGGGCTGATTCCAAAGGGATGAGGGTCAACAAGGCCAAGTGCCGGGTCCTGCACTTTGGCCACAACAACCCCATGCAGCGTTACAGGCTGGGAACAGAGTGGCTGGAGAGCAGCCAGGCAGAAAGGGACCTGGGAGTTTGGATTGACAGGAAGCTGAACATGAGCCAGCAGTGTGCCCAGATGGCCAAGAAGGCCAATGGCATCCTGGCCTGTATCAGGAACAGTGTGGCAGCAGGTCCAAGGAAGTGATTCTTCCTCTGTACTCAGCGCTGGTGAGGCCACACCTCGAGTACTGTGTCCAGTTCTAGGCCCCTCAGTTCAGGAAGGACATTCAGGTGCTGGAGCAGGTCCAGAGGAGGGCAACTAGGCTGGTGAAGGGACTCAAGCACAAGTCCTGTGAGGAGAGGCTGAGGGAGCTGGGGCTGTTCAGCCTGAAGAAGAGGAGGCTCAGGGGAGACCTCATCACTCTCTACAACTACCTAAAAGGAGGTTGTAGCCAGGTGGGGGTTGGTCTCTTTTCCCAGGCAACTATCAGCAAGACAAGAGGGCATGGTCTCAAGTTGTGCCAGGGGAGGTTTAGGTTAGATATTAGAAAGAATTTCTTTACAGAGAGGGTGGTCAGACATTGGAATGGGCTGCCCAGGGAAGTAGTGGATTCTCCGTCCCTGGAGATTTTTAAAAAGAGATTGGATGTGGCACTTAGTGCCATGGTCTAGTAACCGCAGTGGTAGTGGATCAAGGGTTGGACCTGATGAGCTTGAAGGTCCCTTCCAACCCAGCTAATTCTATGATTCTATGAAAAAAGTTCAGTACTTTCTGCCTTCTGGCGCAATTCTAACCATGGTCAGGAGGGGACACTGTCGGTGTCCTGCACTCGCTCTGTGATGGCGCTCAGGATGAGCTGCTCGCTAACTCTCCAGCACCAAGGTTAGACTGACAGTCCTGTAGTTCCCTGAATCCTTCTGACCCTTCTTGCAGATGGGCATCACATTTACTGACTTCCAGTCAACTGGGACCTCGCCAGTGAGCCAGAGCTGCTGATAAATGATGGATAGTGGCTTTGATGAGCATTTTTGCCAGCTGCCTCAGTACACTTGGGTGGATCCCACCCGACCCCACAGATTTGTGCGTGTCTAAGTGGTGTAGCAGGTTGATGACCACTTCCCCTTGAATTGTGGGGGCTTAATTCCTCTCCATGTCTTCCAGCTCAGGGGGCTGGATACCACAAGAACAACTGGACTTACCATTGAAGACTGAAGCAAAGAAGGCATTAAGTACCTCAGCTTGAGCTCCAGCCAAAACTGTTTAGCCAGGCTGGTCTTCCCCACTGGCTCATCTTTTGGCACATGGGGATGGCCTACTCCTCGGCCTTTAAGATTTCCTCTTTGAAGAGTGTCCAGCCTTCCTGGACTCCCTTGCCCTTCAGGACTACCTCCCAAGGGACTATGTCAATCAGTCTCCTAAACAGGCCAAAGTCTGCCCTCTGGAAGTCCAAGGTGCAGTTCTGCTGACCCTCCTCCTTACTCCTCTGACAATCAAAAACTCTGTCATTTCATATGTCCAAGATGGCCTCCAACTTTCTGTCATGGTTTAACCCCAGCCAGCAACTAAGTACTATGCAGCCACTCACTCATTTCCTCACTCATCCCAGTCGGATTGGAAGAAGAATCAGAAAAAGGTAAAACCTGTGGGCTGAGATAGAAGCAATTTAAGAATTGAAATGAAGTAAAACATAATAATAAGGGTAATAATAATGATGATGATGATGATGAAAATGGAGATAACAAAAAGAGAGAGAGAGGAATAAAACCCAAGAAAGATGCACAATGCACTCACTGACCAGTGCCCAGCCCCCCAAGGAATGATCAGTGCCTCCTGGCCAATTCCCTGCCAATTGATATACTCAGCATGATGTTCTGTGTTATGGAATATCCTTTGACCAGTTCAGGTCAGCTGTCCTGGCTGTGCTTCCTCCTGGCTTCTGGTGCACCTGCTTGTTGAGAGAGCATGAGACACTCAAAGTCTGAAGTAAGCACTACCCAGTAACTACTGAATATCCATATGTTATCAACATTATTCTCATCCTAAATCCAAAACACAGCATTGTACCAGCTAGTAGGAAGAAATTTAACTCTATCCCAACCAAAACCAAGACACCATCACATTACTCACAAGTCTCTGTTCACAAAGAACAGGTCCAGCTGGGTGCCTCCCCTTGTTGGCTCACTCACCAACTTGCCTAAGATACAAATGTGCCAATAGTGCTTCATTTTATCCAAAGAGTTTTAAAAAAATAATCCTAAAGGTAGTTATAATCTCAAGACGGGATGTGGAGACTATGTGCAGTGTAGTATCACACGACTGTAAGTGGAGTACCATTGCCCATACAGAGCAAAGATGAATTATGTCTCTTAGGATGGAAGATGAGCAAATCTTCACCTTATTCTCAGCTTGAAGGTATTTTAAATTCTAGAGTTGAGAATATTTGTTCACACATCCAAATGCACATGTCTGGTCTGGGAAATCATAATGAAAAGAAGATGATGGCAATTTTTTTTTTCTCCATCATTTCTAGATTAAATTATTTCAATCAGAAAATGGTCTCTTTCTTCACCTAAGGAGGTCACTATTTCTTTATCCTACTCTTGTAGAGCCCACACTTCCCTTTGGTACCAACTCAGGACATAGCATAAATCAGCAACAAGTCCTTTCATGGCTTCTCCTGTTTCCTGCCTTTGCTTATGTACCTCTCTTGCCATAGCATGGCTGCTGCAGTTCCCTCCAGCTTGTCTCCCTTTGCCTTGGCTGCAGCACTGGTGTTTTGAACTGGTGTCCTCAGCACATGCCTTCTGCTGGACTTAGCAGTACTACTGTGATACCACCATTTATTTGCACTTTCCCAGAAGATAGGAGTAGATATAGAGATATAGAGACAGATAGATAGATAGATAGATAGATAGATAGATAGATAGATAGATAGATAGATAGATAGATAGATAGATTATAGACAGATAGACATAGATGAGAGAGAGAGAGAGATGTGTGTGATTGAGTGTGGGCATTTTTTCCTGGTGGTTTCTAAGAAGTGATTTTGCTTATTTTGTTCCAGGAATGGGCAGAGGCAGTAGCATTTTCTGCTGTTGTTTTGAATGTGAATAATGGTGTTATGCCTAAAAGAAGAGTTTGTTCGAACAAACACAAAAATTTTCTCATTTCAGATATGAACCCAGCTGAGTCTGTCTTCTGCAGACTACAGTAACATCTCCAATAACAAGCTCAGTGACTTTCCCTTTTCTCGTGATAGATCACTCAAGAAATAAGCCTTATGGGAGAGAGATCAGCAGTCATTCTGCATTCTGAGGATGTGAACAAACTTTCCAGGGTGATTTGTTTTCAGTCTCTAAATTTCTACCTTCTATACAGTACCCTTAAGTGATACGTAGCTGAGGTTTTTTAAACTCTTATTTTTCCTGAGTTGTGTAGGGAAAACCTGTTCAGTCCACATAGCTTTAAACCAAATTGGGATCAAAGTGCTTTATCGATCTGTCAGCAATACGGTATTAAGCAGCAATCAGTTGCATTCAAGTAGTAATGCAACAAGCAAACCTCCAGACTAGACACATTAATGTTAATGAACACTGGCAAATTTCTTAACACCCTCTGTAACAAATGCAAAAGAGATTTCTGAAATGCTGCAAGTCTGCCCCTGGCTACTCATGTGCATTGTGTTAGTGCTTGTGAGCATCGACTCTGAAATAGATTCAGAAAAATAAAACCTTTTTTCCACTTGTAACCTTTCTGTGTGCTTGAGAGTGTTTTTTGGAGCTGACAAAACCCTGGTATTTCATGCAGATAGTGGTGTCAGTTTTATTAAACTAATTGTGAGTTCAGGCAATAGAATAGAATAGGTTTAGATTACATATTAAGAAAAAAAACTGATGGTGTGCATGTTGATGGTGCCTGATGATTGCATTATTCTTTAAATGTCTTTTTTAGTACCCAGCATGATCTTCTCCATAATTTTTCAACGTACTGAATCCATTTTGCACATCAAGTTGCACACCAGTTCTACATCTCCACAAGAAAGGGACTGTTATAGTGCATATGTTGAAGTCTAATGATTCTACTGGACCCCACTGTAATTCAGGGCTTTGTGTTCAGTGGATTCTTTACCATAATTTGAAACTATTGACCTGAAACCAAAAAGCACTACAGAAAAGCATCTTCCTAGTATTTTAAAGAAGTGTATATTAGTGAAATCATAGATAAATAATGGAGTCTTCTCTGCATAACAAAGAAATAGTACTTTTATTAATTCATTTTTAATCACATGAACAGAGTTGCAGTTTGGGTTTTCAGTTAATTTTCATTTATTTGATTAATTGAAAAAAAACCAGATATATACCTGTAAAACTATTAGAAAGAAGAAATTTTTCACCAGGACAAGGAAGGCAATCATGTTATATGCTGAACCTTCAAACTTAATACTCCAGCTCTTGTACTAGGCCATAAATCCTGAGAAGGCAGTAAAATCAGAGATTCAAGGGAGAAACAGCATCTCACCTTTTTTTCACAGACATTCTACAGTTGTTGCAGAAACATCACTGTCTTTAACTGAGCAGCATTTCTGATTATTCTGTATTATTCCATCTGTTGTATCTGATTACTCTGCAGTTTTGGATGCTATTGGTAAACATTTCTTGGTTTTGACAAATCACAGCACAGTTGATTTCGAGTAAATGCATCTCTCTGAATTCAAGATTTTATATTTGGCAACCACACCATTGCTCTCACTGCAATATAAAATCTGACAAAGAAATTGGTCAGTGCGACACTTTGGATGAGGAAATTTAAGGCAAGAGATACCACAAAGATACATCTGAGACATACGTAAAAGTGAATAAAGAGGGTTTGCTTCCTTAAGAAACCAGGAGTTACAAATTTTGATTTTCAGTATAATTCTCAGTGATGTCTGTTCTAATAGACTAAGCTGCAAATTCTCAAGTATTCAGTAACTGATGTTAAAAAGTCAGATATTCTTTTTCCTTAACGACAACCAAAAGCTAGTTTAACCTAGATAACTACAGTTAAACACAAATAAAACAGAAAAATACTGCCCATAAGCAGTTAGTGTGGACATGCTATGGTCAGCAATCTAAAAATATCTCTCATTTTTGTGGACAATCCATTTCAAAAGAAGCCAAGAGAATGACACCAAGAAAGATAAATACTGTTATGGCGGCTACTATAAAGAAGTATATATTCTCACAAGTTGGACAACAGGAGACTGCTAAATGTATTTTTTTTCTTCCACTGTCTGCAATTCAAAGGCTGCTTGAAATTCTTTACCCAACTTTTTTAATTACCAATCAAAAGGCAGGCAATGAATTGTGACTCTGGGTTTCCCAGAATCACCAGATGCTCTTTATACTAAACATATTGGGAGGGTAAAGAACCGAAAACCTATTTATTCCTTCCATCACCAAGCACCACAGGTAGCCTGGACAAGACACATTTATGTTGAACAAACGCCAGGTGAAACAGTGTGCAGGCGGCACACTTCCAGTCACCTGAGAAATCTTTGTGTCCTGACGGTGTTAATCATTGCATTAATGATCCAGGTGGAGGCGCTTAAAACTTTCACTTTTATAGAATAATACAGTCTTTAGATAGTATCTTTAGTAGTCTTCAGATAAAAAGCAGAATTCATGGGCTTCCTGTTGAAATTATGTTGTTTTTCTAAATTGTCATGGACCCAGAGGTGGGCATGTCTGTCAGTATTCTGCACATCATTGCTTAGAAAACCTATCCTATCATCTCAATTTAGAAAAAAATCCTAGTTATATCTATCTTTTTTGAATGAGTTGTTGACTTACAGTTGGTTTTACACCTGCAGGGGCAGTTGAAGGCATAGTTGCTGGGTTTAAGCATTTAAACGTGTGGTTAGGTATAAGACATAATTTAAATATCTCACATATTGCTGCTTTTATTTCAAATGCTGTGGCTAAATCAACAAACCCTAACCCATCTGCCATCGGTAATGATGGTGGTGATTCAATAGATGGCACTCCAGCATGGGAGTCATGTTTTTGCCTGCACCCAGCCCTGTCAGTCCCCAGCAGGTGGAGTGGCTGGGTCTGCACTGGCTGTGTGGGCATCGACTAGGGGAAGATGCTGGGGAACCACAGAGGACCTATGAGAACACCTGGTTGTTCATGGTCTGAATAGCGTTGTGGTCTTGCAGGGAGTGAGTTACTCTTGTGCCATCCTGTGATGCCTAAAATGGAAAAAAAATTCTCCAAACAATATTAGTATAGATAAGGTAGGGAGCAGTTCTTTAATGAAAGCTTTCAGGTGCATGGAGTACACAGGCGCACACCCACACACAGAATTCTCACACTTTTATAACTTCAACTAATTACCATATCTAGTGGGTACATCCAACCTGAAAACCATTTTGCCCTTGGTACCATCCTCAGAAGTGCCCTATTGGAGCCGCTCGAAGGGTTCTGGGCCCTCTATCTTGTTTTGACTAAAATATATCTTCTTATTCTGGTCGAGGTACACATCCCAGAGAGGATGTCCTTGCTAAAATATCTTTCCTTGGAAAGATTGTTAAACAGAAATTCATTGGAATGTTGCAAAACCGTGAGAAAAAAATTAAGTAACTGTCTAAAGTGTCTAAGGTGAAAGAAAACTATACAGCTCTATTAAAATTTACAAAATGGCTAAAAATCTTTAGGCATCATCTGCTGTTAATTCTTCCAAGAGTTTCATGGCTAAAGGGATATTAAGCTGTTGTGTTTTAACAGCAGATTGCTGAAGTCTGTTCCTCCCCTTTCAGAAGCTGTTGATGCCTGGGGGGTGATGTTTGCGTTTTCCCACATAACTGCAAAGAATTCCTAGCTGGTGTGCTATGCTCCAATGACATACCTTTTGACTGTTCTGTAGGATGTGTTTTCCAACCTACAGAATAGTAAGGATTGGGGTCAAATTAACAATGTACTGTTTCTCCATGTTCAGTGCTCCTCAGTAAATTTCTGCTAACGCCCTCTCTAGGTACCGAATTCAAAGTACTGTGCACCATCTTTCTGACAACCACTAGTACCAAATTGTTCTTCAGGCGTACCGGCCCTTATCTTGGTGGACAACTTTGACGAGTTGGAAGATGGGGCTTTGAGCAACCTGGTCTAGTGGAAGGTGTCCCTGCTCATGGCAGGGGGGTTGGAATGAGTGACCTTTAAGGTCCCTTCCAATGCAAAACATTCTGTGATTCTGTTCTGTGATTCTTTGCCACTGTGACATAGCATAGACAGCGCTGGAGAAAGAGGGTCATGAAAGCAGCTCCTTGTGAAGCTCCACTTAGGATGTGCTTGTGCCGAGAATGGAATGGCAAGCAGTGGCCAAAGAATTTCAGAGGTGAACAGTGACTTCCCTCAAGATGGTTCCAGACATTGACACCTCCTTCAGGAATCTAATTATGCTCATTCCTTTCTAGTGACTAATCTATTTGCTGCCAGTAGATCAGCAGTCAGAGCTGCTGTCATGAAGATTAGTGCCTCCATTAGGAGGATGTTGTGTTCATTTAGAGGGAAATAAATGGACCACGGGAATGAAGATAGTAATGTAAGTCTTAAATATTAACGGCTTAAATATGGATCAGGGTTTGAATAAAGAGACTTCGATTTTTTTTATCTCATGGCAGACATGCAAGATCCATGCTGAAGTTTGTAAATGTATTTTTAGGATGAATGACAACTAAATGTTAAAGTTTAAAAGGATTAAATTAAGTGGAATAGATATGTAAGATAACATGAATTAGAATATTAAAATCCCTTACTAAAGACATTGTAAAGGACTCTTCTATCCTGTAAAGGACTCTTCTATGCCAATAGTTCTGATGAAAAAGAAAACTTTTCAAACTGATTTTGGGAGAGTCATATTTACCTTCCTGCTTGTGATTTCATGGCTGCTAGTCACACTGGTGGTGATGTGATGTCCTGAAGATACAACTTACTATTTTCTTCATTGGCTTCCAAATGTCTTTATTGATTTTTGGGCAGGAGGCAGAAGTTGTTTAACTTCATCCAGGGCAGGTGTGGAATAGCAGGAGGGAGCAGATGTGGAGGAATGCAGACTAGCTGTACATAGTGATATGCACAGTTTGCCTGCTGTGCCTACGTGCAAGAGCAACGGAAAAACCAGATCAAATAGTGGTAAACAGATTTGGTGGTAAACTTTCTCACCAGTTGGAAGTGTTGCCTCTGCAGAATACAAATATTTCAAATTAGTTAAAAGACTACGCATTGATAAATTACTACCTTTCCAATAAAGCTGTTGTGCTGAAAAAGCCCTTGAAGCAGCACTCACTGAAACATTCCAGTTCCTTTTGCAGTAACATCAGTAAATGCTGGACTAGACTCACAGAGCTGACCTGCTGATGCAAGGCTGACAATGCAGTAAAGTGCCTGAGGAAAAACAGTGGAAATAAATGACAGCACTTTATCCATACAGATAGAATTATTGGAATATATACTGGGGATGTTACATGAAAAGGACAGACATGGAGCATTTTTTTTTTTTTAATACAGTTGCAAGAAACCTATAGTACCAATGCCATGACAGGCTTAATGCCTAGTCCCTCACTCTTTCCCATGATTAATAATAACTGCTTCCAAAATAAGAGATGCTGTATTTTTAAAGAGGGGCAAACTGGTATGATAGTGCTTTGGAAAAGCAAAACTGAAGTTTAAGGCAATACTAAAGCTTGAACTAGTAGAGGACAATGTATGTACCTAAAGCCATGAGCACTGGAGTAGATTTCGAAGACAGAGTTACAAACTCTAGAGATACTCTCTGTTAGTGGAGAACTGAGGCTTAAACATCTGAAGCAAAACTGAGGTTCAAACATCCTGCTCTTCCTTAGCACCCTTCATATTCCTTGCCATCTGAGGCTGCTCAATTAGAGTGGCTACAGACTACCCACTGCTTCTGTCTATTTTGAATAAGCACAAAAACAGATCCAACTTCATCTTTTTGTGTCTGACCCAGTCACATTTCACTATTAAGACAACTTGGCAGGCTCTCATTTAAAATTTATGTACTTAGTGAGAAACTGTACTTTCCTATACTTAGTGAGAAACGAATTCCATAGTGTCTGAGGCTAGTCTAAGTGGAGTTTGGTGTATCAAGGGCTGGACATTGCAGACATGAAAGAATACATGCTATGGAAAGGCATGTGAGAGTGACAGCAAGGGAGAGTTGTTTATGTGCTCCCTTGAAATCTTAGTTCTGCCTGTTCCCCAGATATTACACAATGTATCTGTAATCAGAATATAATCTGTATAAGGAAAACAGCATGCCCAGCTACCATGCTCTCCATTCACATGGACATAGTGCTTTTTTATTTTATTTTATTTTGTTTTAGTATTACAAAAACTTTCTGAGAAAACAAATAAATTATTGCAAAAAGGCTTTTGTTTTTTTGCTTAACTGCGCTAATGAAGTGAGAGAGTACAGCACAGTACAGCATGAAAATACTTACTTGAAATCACAGCAAGCGTGTGGCAGTCCCACATCCCTAACTGAGATGAGACAGGAGGCATTACCAACAAATCTGAAGGTCAGACCAATGAGTTTTGTAAAAATTTAACTTAAAAATTCTTACCATTCTTCCCATGTTACACTAGTATCCAACATTGATTACAAGCTAATTAAAAATAAACCTGAATATTTTAGAATTTGAAGTCAGGAAGAGGGAATAAAGCCAAGTGGAAAGTAGAATCACTAAAATGCCCAAAAGCATGTTTAATTAAGTAACACACCTCAGATAGACCTTGACATTAGCTTTTTTTGCCAAGTAATATAATTTAAAAAACCACACGAGGACATTAAGGGCAGACAAAGCAATGATCTACACCACAGGGCTTGTCTACACAGGAAAGACCTCAGAACAACCACTGCAGAGTATCTGTTCTGCAACAGCTCCCCGAGGGGATATATTTTTTTGCACTAACTATGCATTTGTGTGATTTAGCTTAATACACATGAGAAGTGAACTATGCTGAAAGCAAACAAAGGCATTCATCATGGAAAATAAGTGCATCTACTGGAGGAACTGGTACACCATAACTGGTGGGCTCTCAATTCCGCACTTCAGATTGTTTCCCAGTAACCATCTCACACAGATCAATCCAAAGTGCACTACTCCTTCATTGTAAATGTACAAATTGAAGGAAATGGAACAATAGACCACATGGATTTATGATGAGGTAATAGTTAGCCAGAAGCTGCTTGTGGTGCTGAGCTATTGCTGCAACTAATACATTTAGTCTCACAAAGTCCAGGCTGCCAACTGCAAAGAAGCAACAATAGTCCAGCAGCACTCACACCCTCCAAGGTGTTTCTGTGGCCGTAAATGGCATTGCAGGTGTTTCTAAGTCAATTAAGAAGCTGCTTTAAATGTACTAGTGAATACAGTATAATTCATATTGTAAGTTTAAATATTACATAGCAGTGACTGCTTATTCCACATAGATTTTAGAACTAGTCTGAAAAAAATAGCAGCATTTCTTCACTATATTAACTAAAAGATAATAGATATACTCTTCTAAAAGGAACAGAATACATAGTAAACAGGGAGGGCAAAGCCTGTCTTACGTGGCTGTACCAGGAAGTAGGAGATATCTGATCCACCTGACTTACTGTTGAAAGAACTAAGCAAGACCCCCTAAAATATAAGAGGGAATTCTGAACAACAGATAGGTTAGCTCACCCATCTGCTTTGTTGAACAAGCCAGCTGGTTCAGTAGATTTCAGCCATAGGTACTTGTAAAATTTATTCGCAGCAACAAGGTATTGATATAATTAAAAGTGACAACCATTGACATGTTAAATGCTGTAGTTAGAGGTTATCTATGTATGAGAGTCATATCATCACATGGGAGTAGTATCATTCTAACTATCATAGAATCACAGAACATGCGAGCTGGAAGGGACTCACAAGGCTCATCAAGTCCAATCCTTAGTCCTTGCCTTCCTCATGTCCACAGTTGAGGTTTTGCTGCCACTTTTCCTCCTGTCAACAGAGATTTTAAACTCAATCTCCTCGTGGTCGCTGTGGCCAAGATGTCCACCAATCTCCATTTCTCTCATGAGATCCACTCTGTTGACAAGCAGTAGATCAAGGAGGGCATCTTTCCAAGTTGGCTCCCTTATGACCTATTCCATAAAGTTGTCATCCAGATTTTTTAGCAATCTTCTGGCCCGGGTTGTACCAGCTGTGTGATGCTCCCAGCTAATTTCTGGCAAGTTGAAGGCCCCCATAAGGACAAAGGCAGTATACTTGGAAACGTCCCTTAGTTCCTCAAAGAATAATTTGTTGGCATCTGCATCCTGGCTGTGAGGTCTGTAGCAGACTCTCATGATGACATCCACATTATTTTTTTGCCCCTTGATTCTTATGCAGAGGCTCTTAACTGTGCCATTGCCAACTGTGAGCTCCATACATTCCAACTCTTCTGTTACACACAGTGCCACCCCTCCGCCTCTTCTGCCCTGCCTGTCCTTCCAGAAGACCCTGTAACCATCCAACAGGGCACTCCAGCCACAGGTCTCATCCCATTAGGTTTCACTTATGCCAATGATGTCAAATCTCTCTGGGACTGGGCCAAAGCAGGTGTGTCTAAAATAATAAATACTTGTCAAAGATTTCACTACATTAGCATTAGGAGGGTGTAAGCTTATGATTGTGCTGGGGGAGAGCATAAGTTATACTAAGGTAACATAGCTTTAAATCAACATAATACATTAATAGTAGGAATTGTACCAGTATATTTATTCTGGTAAAAAAATACCGCCCTAAACGGCACCTACGCCAGCACAAACCCTGCATGTAACCAGGCCACAGGGCCAAGGGGTGATAATGGCAGGAAAAATCCACCACAGGAGCAAGCTCCCATTGTTCCTTGGCCTGAGAAATCCATGTCAGAGCACTGGGAAAGCAAGGTGACACGCTTTAGCTTAAAGTTTTCTTGTTGCCTCCTAAAGGAGATTGTATGCTCTGGCATTTACATGAACCAACAGCAGCGTCAGTGAAACTTGGCTAATGCACAATAACTTGTTCAGCTGCCATATCTTTGGCAGAGGCGTAAGCCCTGAGCCTTTGCTGTCAATGTACC